TCCTTTTCTTGTCCATCTTCTCTATTTTCTTCTCCTCATTGTCTATCTACTTCTCCTTGCTCTCCTTGTCAATTTTCTACTTATCTATATTCTTCTCTTCCTTGTCTATCTCCTTCTTTTCCTCCTTGTCAATCTTCTCCTTCTCCTCATTGTCTATCTCCTTCTCCTTGTCTTCCTGGTCAATCTTCTCCTCCTCTCACTTATCTATCTTCTTCTTCTCTTCCTTATGTATCTTCTCCTTGCCATCTTCGCCTTCCCTGTTTTCTTTTACTCATTGTCTATCTACTTCTCGTTCATCTCATCAATCTCCTCCTCCTCGTCTATCTCTTTCTTCTTCTCACTCCTCATTGTTTATTTTGCCTTCTCTTCTCATTATCTATCTCCTTCTCCTTGTCTTCCTTGTTAATCTTCTCCTTTTCCCTGCTTATCTTCTCCTTCTCCTTATCTTTTCCTGTCTACCTTCTTCTTCTTCTTTCTTCCTTTTCCCCTTCTCCAGGATTGTCACATTATAGACCAGGGAGGTTTGAAAATTTATGTCTGGAGAGGAAAAGAGTCCAGCAAGGAAGAAAAAAATGCTGCTTTTAGTCGGGCAGTGGTAAGTGATATGCTGAAATATTCTTAAGAAACATCTTAACATGTATTTACATTAAAAATAATAATAATTAGCATGTGAATCAGCACAAATACGCAGGTAGAAATCAGACAAGTCAATTACTGGAGATTTGTTTGGGAGAGGATGGAAATAACTTCATGCTTGTAGCATGGAGCACTGAATTGGAATTTCTGCCCATGAAAACAAAGATTCCCTCCTAGGGGCCTACCTAGCAGGGTTGTGTGGAGGATAAGAGCAGAGAAAATACAGATAGTCCTTGATTTACGATCACAATCGAGACTAAAATTCTGTTAATTGAATTTTGCTGCATTTTGTGACCATTCTTGCCACAGCTGTTGTTAAGTGAATCACTGCAGTTGATAAATTAGTAACCCTGTTGTTAAGTGAATCTGGCTTTCCCCTTTGGCTTGGCTTGGCCAGAAGGTCACAAAAGGGGATCATGTGATTTTTGGGACCGCAATCCTAAATATGAACCAATTGCCAAGTGCCTGAATTTTGATCATGCAACCATGAGGATGCTGGAAAGGTCGTAACTGTGAAAAACGGTCCTAAGGCACTTTTTTCAGTACCGTTGTAACTTTGAACAAACTGTTATTATGTGGAGCAGTACCGATAAATTCAATCAATCAATTCCAAATCACAAAAATAGCGTTGCAGAAGTAACAGTTGTTCTTCCCTCTTAAGCCATCGAGTTCCATTTGCAGTGGAATTTTACTTTTTGTTCATGCTTGGTATAGTTTGTTTGTTTTATTGTATATATTTATTTTCATCGGAGAAAGCAAATTTTTCCGAAGAGTTAATGGTAAAAGGAAACCAGCCCTCCCAAGAACATAGTGGGTGGACACTATCAAAGCTGACCCCAGCCAGAGCATAGAAGCATGATGGCAAATCCATGGCACGTGTGGCACGCAGAGCCATTACTGCCAACATGTGAGCCCGCATCCAGAGCAAGTCTACTGTGCATGCATGCCCACCCAACAGCTGATGGTCGGGTATCTGGTGCGCGTGTGCGGGAGGTGGGCTTGCACGGGAGACATGCATGCGCAGAGATGCATGGCGCACGCAGTGGGGCATGGGGGGGGACCCACACGCATTGCCTTCTGGGTACTGGCACACAAGCGCACGCGCAATTATCGGCATAGGAGCCCAGAAAGGTTAGCCACCACTGGCATAGAACAACTCAAAGAAGCATTGCAAGATCAGAAGATGTAGAGAGAAAGAGACCGGGCCCTTCGAATCGCTCAAGGGTTGGACGCGATTAAATGGGTAACAACTTATTTAGTTAGCTTGTTTGTTAGTTATTAGATTTTTATTCCACCTTTCTATTTTATAAATAAAAATGCAGTACAGTGAGTCCTTGACTTACAATAGTTCATTTAGTGACTGATCAAAGTTACAACCGCACTGGAAAAAGAGGCTTCTGGTGATGTTTCACATTTACAGCCGTTGCAACCTCTTTGTGGTCATATGATCAGAATTCAGATGCTTGGTAACTGTCTCATATTTATGACGGATGCAGTGTCCCCGGGGTAACGTGATTCTGTATTGCGCCTTCTGTCCATCTAAATCGACAGAGAAGCCAGACTGACTTAACAACCATGTGATTCTCTGAACACCTGCCATGATTTACTTAACAACATGGACAATCATAAAATAGAGCAAAATTCATTTGGCAACTGTCCCATTTAACAACTGAAATTTTGGGCTCAATTGTGGTCATAAAGTCAAGGATTCCTTGTAAATATACCTAATGCTCTTTCCTCCTCCTATTTTTCCCATGAGAAAAAACTTGGATGGCTAAAACACTCTGTGTCTCTCTCTTTGTCTCTCTCTGTCTCTCTCTGTCTTTGTCTCTCTATCTCTGTCTCTCTATCTCTCTTCCCCCTCTCCCCCCCCTCTCTCTCTGTCTTTCTCCCTCTGTGTGTGTGTGTCGTTCTCTCTGTGTCTCTGTCTTTGTCTGTCTCTCTGTCTCTGTCCCTCTCTGTCTCTGTCTTTCTCCCCCTCTTTCTGTCTCTCTCTCTCTCTCTCTGTCCCCCCCTCTCTGTCTTTGTCTCTCTATCTCTCTGTCTCTCTCTGTCTGTCTCTGTCTTTGTCTCTCTGTCTCTGTCTTTGTCTCTCTGTCTCTCGCTCTCTGTCCCCCCCCTCTGTCTTTGTCTCTCTATCTCTGTCTCTCTCTGTCTGTCTCCCCCTCTCTCTGTCTCTCTCTCTGTCTCTCTCTCTCTGTCTTTGTCTCTCTGTCTCTCTCTGTCTCTCTGTCACTCTGTGTGTCTCTGTGTCTCTCTCTCCCCCTCTCTCCCCCTCTGTGTGTGTGTCTCTCTCTCTCTGTCTCTCTCTGTGTCTCTCTCTCTGTCCCTCTGTCTCTCTGTGTCTCTCCCTCACTCTCTCTGTGTGTGTCTTTCTCTCTGTCTCTCTCTCTGTCTCTCTCTCTCTCTCTGTCTCTCTCTCTGTCTGTCTCTCTGTGTGTGTCTTTCTCTCTCTCTCTCTCTCTCTCTCTCTCTCTGTGTGTGTGTGTCTCTCTCTCTCTGTCTTTCTCTCTCTGTCTCTGTCTCTCTGTGTCTCTCTCTGTGTCTGTGTCTCTCTCTCTCTCTGTTTGAATCTTCCTAGGGCTTCATCCAAGCCAAGGGTTACCCTTCTTCTACGAACATAGAAGTTGTAAATGATGGAGCAGAATCCGCCATGTTTAAACAGCTTTTCCAGAAGTGGACGGAGAAATATGCCACCCAAGGCCTTGGCAAAGGCTACACTCTCGGCAAAATTGGTGAGATGGGGGGGGGGGACGACTCCTAACCCTTTCCACACCCCACATTTATTTCAATCCCCTGGGAGAGAGAAGGAGATTTTCCTCCCCGTGTCATGTTTTTGTTCCAACACATGATCGCATCCAGCCAACCTGGGCTGATCTTGCAAAAGCTAATTGGGGCCAGGCCTAGTTAAATCTTGGGGTGGGATGACCAGGAAACCTCACAGGTAGGAGGTCCCACAAACCCCTGGCTTTGGCCCATTCCTGGACCATGGTCTATTCAGAACCATGCCATAAAAGAGGCTGGCCAACATAGACGCACAGCTCCACTCACACAAAGGGCATCCCAAGGCTTCTGTTCTCTCTTGTGTGAGTGGAGCTATGTGTGCATGCACTGTGAATGTGTGCCAGTTCACCCCTCAGGCAGCCCAGATCTCCTCTCCCTCCCTCTTCCCTCCCCTCAAGCTGGGCTGCCAAGTCACAAAGTCTGGAGACCACAAACACAACTGGAGACTAAATGGGGAACTTGAAAAACAAACACATCACAGAAAAGAACCAGGGCAGCTTCCCAATTTTTAAAGAGTCAACTCAGGAGAGAGAACGTCAAAGGAAGGAGCCATTTGGTGGCACCTGTAAAGCCTTAAGGAAGAGGATCTTGACAGAGATAGGTGGATCCATTAGGCAACCTGGTGGCCCTCGGATCCCCGGGAATCACCGTATTGATGCGGAACTTAGTGTGGACACCTGATCAGCATAGCCCACTGCTGCCCATAACTCCTGAGGTCAAGCGATCCACCAGTCTCAGCCTCCGGAGTAGCTGGATTACAGGCTCGCACAACCGCACCCAGGTAAGTGGATCCATGACCAAAATGACAAGAGGAAAAGATGGTTAGGTCCAAAATTAAGAAAAGATATTGATGATAGAAATAGAGATAGAGACAGAAATAGAAACAGACAAACAGATGGATGGGTGGATGGATGAATAGATAAAGATAGTTAGATGGATGATAGATAGATGATAGATAGATGATAGATAGATAGATAGATAGATAGATAGATAGATAGATAGATAGATAGATAGACAGACAAACAGAGTATGGATGGAAGATGGATGGATGGATGGATAGATAGATAGATAGATAGATAGATAGATAGATAGATAGATGATAGATACATAGATGATAGATAGATAGGTAGGTAGGTAGATAGAGAGATAGATAGATAGATAGATAGATAGATAGATAGATAGATAGATAGATGATTGATGGATATCTCTTAGATGGATAGATAGAGATAGATTGATGATGGATGAATGGATGGATGGAGATAGATAGATAGATAGATAGATAGATAGATAGATAGA